AGTACAAAAAATTAAATTCCGTTTTCTATAAATGATAAAAAAATGATTTCTGCTTGAATTATGTTTTTAACTCTTGGTAATGTGCAAAAAAAAACACCGCTTTGCTTCATTATATGCAATGTACTGGTTTATCATATGCAATCTTGTGCAATGACCTGGTGTCTTGAAAAAGACAATATTTAAGAGAATATTTGTCTTAAATTTAAGAAGTGTAAATAAATTAAGTCAATAAAACAGACAGTACTATGTAAAATATAGGTAATGTGCTTATGAGATAGGAAATTGGCTTAAATTGTGTACAATTTTAATTTTTTAGTATACATTTTTGTATCAACAACAGTTAGCTTTACAAACTTTTTTTTAGCATTTTGAGTCAAAAGAGATTCATGTAGGTGTGAAAGTTTTAAATGTTTCATTATTTTTCTCTGTGTTCTTCAAAATGTCCATTACATAATTGTGTTGTTGATGTTGTAAATTGTATTTTGTTTCAGAGTTACACAGAAGGAGTTTGCCTTAAAGATTATTGATAAAACAAAGTGTGCAGGGAAGGTATGAAAAAAAATTATTTAAATAAGGTATATTTTTAACACTGGCAAAAATATTGTAACAGGTTTTGTGTTAGAACTTTTATTCAGATCCTCATTGCAAATTCTTTGATTGTCTTTGTAGTAAACCTCAACTTAAGTGGAAGCTACCTGTTTACCTCAGCATTAAACTTAGTTTAGATTGAAGTAAATTTTGTCTGTTTTTGGACTTAGCCAAGTTTGACAGATGTTTGAGTAAGAATGAGAGTCTCAAGTGTATAAAATTCATTTGTAAATGTGGTATTCCAAAATTAATTTCCGGCTATAACTTGCACACAGTAACCTGATCTTTGTGATAACAAAGGGTCTGTGGATCTAATATTTAGCATGATAAGTGTTACGATTTGTTGCAGATGGAAATTAATGCATGACATTGCGTGAAGGTGAAGAAAAAAGCAAATCGCTGGAACAATGTCCAAATAACCTGATTAAACTTAAATAAAACCATAATTTAAGTTGTATTTAAACAAATATATCATAGAAATAAATTTCTGTTTTAAAGCCATTAGAAGATAGTAAAGTTAAAATGCAAACAAAAATATGCACATTCAGCAGTAATTGACAAACAAGGACAATATTTCTACAGTTTTTTTTGTAGCTTTATCTACAATAAACAAATTAGGTTGAATATAACAAAACCATTCTTATGATCCATTTTCTCCCTGTAGCTGTCCAGCCACAAAATTGTATCACAAGTATTCAGGGGTATCTCCGCTTTATATTATAGCCATAAAATCAGCCCCTTGCACACTGATTAATGTTGAATGCAATACAATTGTCCTGTGCAACAGTAAGTAGTCTCCTTAGCCAAATGCTGCAACAGTAAGTAATTCTAAGAACTTAAGAATGTATGAAATTATGTCAACCATACTATATACAATGCTGATGAGACGTTTCAGCCAGCATCAGGACCCATTCACATAGGGTTGAATTTGTTCAGGACCTCTAAGAAATTTATTGTTTTCTGCTTTAGAAGTTTAGGAAAATGTGAAATATAATGATATAGGAGAGTTGTATTTCTATACAAAATATAGAAATACTTCTGATGCTTTTTCTTTTGTAAAATATGCAATGCTTCCTTAGCTGTAAACTTAGCTTGCTTAGGAACCTGCTACATGAAGGTGACTAATGACATTGAAACTGTTTTGTTTTAATTAATGTGGTGCCAGTTAGAGAAAGCTTCAGAGATCAGGTTCAGTATTACTAGGTTAGACATCTTGTGTCATTTGTATCTTTTTTTTTGTGTCAGTGATATTGATATATGTATCATTACTTTTTAAAATCTCACTGTGTTCATTGATGTTAATTAGAATATTTTGCATATAATGTTTTTAAAATGTATTTTTAATGGTTGTGGATAATAGGAACATCTTATTGCCAGTGAAGTTGCCATCATGCGTAGAGTAAAACATCCAAATATTGTTCATCTTCAGGAGGAGTTTGATGTGGATAATGAACTGTACTTAGTGATGGAACTAGTAAAGGTCAGTTATTTTTCTCTCCACAATATTCCTAAGATTTAAGATTTTGAAAACTTCAGCTGCCATATTTACAACAGGTGTATCTTTTATAGTGAGTGAGAATTTTACATATTAGTTATTTGGTTGTTTTAAATAGAATAGTTCAACAGCAAATTAGCTATTGTATGATAAGTAATAATATTATTGAGCATATGTTGTAATTTGTATTGTGCCAAAAAAAGGAAACTATAATAATAGACATTAATTATCATTTGGAGCTACATGTAAAATGGTGCTTTTAGAAATTTATGAGGGAGAAAGTTTCGAAATGTGAAAGTTTAAAAATTGATTAATCAAAAATCTGATGTTGGAAACAGAAAAAAATAATTTTAGGTTTCTGATTTTTGAAAATAAACCATGATATATGTTTAACACTTTTTTGATTTAATGAAGTGATGTTTTATGATAAGTAATAAAAAGCTAAAATACAAATACTTCAACATAATGCAGGGAATTATTTGATATAGAGAAGAAAAGCAATTAAGATTTTTGTTTTAAAATACAAACTTGGATTAATTACTAATGTTATGTACTAGAAAGATAGGTTCAATTTCTCATATCTAGAACTTCTACCTACATTTCAAGATTAAGTTTTTTACCTAAATCTTATGAAAAGAAACAAATTTCCATGTGTAATAGTAATATCATGTGTAAATTATTAATATAAAACAAGTTTCTTTATGCAGTAGCACATTAGTAAGATGTAACATATTAGTATTTTCATTGTGTTGAAATTGTAATTTTATAATTTTTTATTTATACTGATCAAAATGTGCCTTTTTATAAAACAAAAACCCTTTGAATAAATTGCCATTAGCAGAAATGGTTTTTAATAGTTTGGTTTATATTAGCTCAGTGTGTTTGGAAGTTATTAGTACATGTACTGTTTTTAGGTCTTGAGTTATTGAGTTTTTGTAAAGAATAATCGGAGAAATTACCAAGATGCTTTCCCTATTGAATCACAATAAAACAGTAAATTGTGCTTTTAGAAGTTACAGCTTTTATAGTGTGTTTCAATGGAAAATTTTTATTTAGATAGGTATGATGGTTAAATTATAATGCTTTTAAACATTAATAATCTCTTTTCTGATGTGCTAAAATCGGTGTTTTTAGCTTAAATTATGTCAGATTATTGGTAGCCCAAGTCACCATAAATTACTGAATCAAAGCATTTATATTGTAAGCACATCTTGTAAATCAAGTCTTAGATACCACAGAAATTTTGCTTCAACTTGCATCACTTGACACACTCAAAACATGTGTAAGAAAAAGGTTTTGTACAAACCAAAAGTGTATAAGTATATTTATTTGTCAACAAATAATTTACTAGACCTTGATGAATGTTTTTTTTTTTCATAATTTAGGGAGGAGACCTTTTTGATGCCATAGCTTCAGCAACAAAGTACACTGAAAGAGATGCCAGTGGAATGGTATATAACCTAGCCAGTGCTCTCCTTTATTTACATTGTATGAACATTGTTCACCGTGACATCAAGCCTGAAAACTTGTTGGTAAGTAATGCCATAGACTCTCAGCATGTGTTGTTAAGTAGGATAGGTATGTCATAATAATGTCATTAAATAGTTTATCCTGCAGTTTTTTAACACGCATAACAAGCATCTGCAGCTATAGCCTAATTAAACCTCAAAGTACAAAAGAAATGGTGAAAATCATTTTAAAGTAGGAAGGTGAGTTAATATAGATGATATGCAAGTGGTGTCAAGCACTGGGTTGGGTTTGTTTATTCCACTATTTTCCACTAACTCGCCTTCCTACTTTAAAATGATATATGTGTGTGTGTGTGTGTGTCTCTCCTTCTGTCTCTGTGGGACTGTTTCTTATGCACAACCATATCTTTAAAGCTACAAACTCCAAACTTGGGGTACAGATACAACTTTGTGCACTATGTGGCTGTAGCCTCGGAGGCCATTTTGAAGCTGTAAATTGAGGCCAAAGTGACTACTATATCAATTTTTGGCAAACAGGATGACCAATTGGTAATGTGTGATCAAGAGAGATATTATTTATGTTCCTTCTCTGTGTGAGGACTTCTAATCATTCTATCCATGATCAATTATGTGTTAAAATGATTTGAAAAGTTTGTGGAGCCTTCATTTGTACTCGTTTCCTCCCTCTCTCTTTCTTCTACACATACATGCCTATACTCTAACTCCCCTTAACTGAAAAAGGCTGGTGCTTTTTCTGGAACATGCATGCACACTCTCGCATTTAAATAGGCCTGCTTCAGCCATATATTTTGCTTGCTTGCATGTACTCGCAAGAATCAGCTATATCATAACTTTACAAAAACGTTTGGTATTGACAGGTTTTCCTTTACATTGTGTTACAAAGAGAAGAGAATAAATCAATTCTTCTTTAAATGGAACGATAATAAAGTCAAAATACTCTGCAAATGACACTTGACCATACAATAGAAATCAGGACACGAAAAATTAGGGAATTTTGTTTTGTAAACTTAATGTCGTGCAAAGCACATGGAAGAAGGGGCAATATACCCAGTTTTGCTGTGATTAAAATAACTTTAGCAAATTTCAATTTTTTCACACATTGTTATTGATTTTAATCAAAATATTTAGTTAGGTAAAGAAATCATTTTGCTTTTTTGCAAAAAATAATACTTAATTTGATTGATTTAATCAAAACAACTCAGGATATTGAAAACCATTTTCATCTGAGCAATGCAGGGTACTTTGCTAGTTGGAAATAAGAATAAACTGGTAAAATAACAGTGAACCTTGCAGTTACATGCTGAGTCATGTAACAATGCCAGTTGGTTGCACTGCTGTTGGTTGTACAAACAACCAAAAAGAACAATCTGGAACTATTGTTTTACAAATTCCCAGCCAATGAAGTGTGAAGGAATAAATGGATCACTGTGGTTAAACTAGCAGATCCAAGAACTCGTGAAGCTCATGACACATGTATTTGAACAATATAATATTTTCACATGCCTCAGTACTTTGGACATGGGAGTTGACTTGGGTGCAGCTGTTGGTTTGAATGCTGCACTATATTTTACATAGGCTTTACTTTTCTGATGGAATTGATATATTTCTTTTCAAAATCCTTGCTTGCTATCCCTAGTTCCTTTGAATAACTGGCTTTCCGTATCAACAAATTTTCGAAATTTTTGACAATACTCATAGAAAATGACACTTTCCTCATCATCGTACTTTACCCATTCATATTCACTTTTGTAAGCTTCTCTGAATGGCCTTTTCCTCTTGTTGTCATCGTACGTTTTGTGTCATGATGATGTATCAGTGTTAGATTTAGCAATAGTCTGAGAGTTGTACTTGTCAGTGTCATGATTGTTTTGATTGCTGTTGGCATGACCTGATCTTTTCTCAGATTTCTCTGTCTCTGATAAATCTACAGTAACATTTGCTTCTTTCTGATCGCCTTTATCTTCAGATTGTGCATTATCTTTTGCTATTTTGGTGATACTACAAAAAATTCACGTAAATAATTCTGTGAAGTCTTTTGTTTTGCTGGTATTAGGAGGTATTTTGTGTAATATCAGTACATCGTTGTCTACTAAGCCTTGCTTTTGGCACTTCTTGAACTCACACTGTAAAAAATGGTAATTAATTATAAAAACTTTTACTATAACTCATTAAAATTGTTTGTTTGTAAGAATGTATCAAGTTTGTGCAGTAATTTTTACTCGTTCGTTTGGTTTTAGTGTTAAGCATAAGATTTAAATTTTAAGGAACTTAAATGAATTAAAAACTGTAAACTTTAAAAAATTAGTGACAAATACAAAACTAAGCCTAGACTAATATGACAGTCATATATCACAGTAAACTTCATATCTTGTAACAACACAATAAGCAAGGTATGTGAGTAGGAAAGCATGTCAATAAGTAAGAAATCAAAATTAACCCTAGAACTTTATTTAAAAGATTATATTCAATGCAATCCGTGAATTGGTAGTAATGCAAACTTTACTGTTTTGCCAAGTTACCACTAACGGCAGCAGCACATTCAACATTTTCCTTAAGTGCAAGTTTTCCTTTTTATAACATTAGTTTGTTTTTGAATACTTAACTGATTATTCAAATAATCTGCCTTGCTCCCATACAAACCTGGAAATAATGTCAATATGGTAGGAACTGTATTCAAAACATTACGCATCTGTTATAGAAAATTAATAGGAAAGCTTTGAAATTTTCACTCAAACAGACATACATGCACGTTTGATAATATAGTCGTTGTCCAGTAAAATCTGCTTCCCCTGGACATGCATACAGACAATTTTTCAAACTCTGGTAATAAATGTACTAATTATTGTAAAAAAAACACTTTATTGTATGCCTTCCTATTCTCTTTGATATTGATAGATCTTCTAATCACTAAATATCCCTAAAGTTTCTCTTCAGTATAGTTAAGCTATCCTACACATCATGGCTAATTTTATTTTTAAAATGTATTAGCTATGAACCAAGTGTATCTTACTGTAAAGATGGCCTATTATGTGTATGTGTTAGCATTTGTCATTCAGAGTTCGCTGGATCAATATCATACTTTTTGGTGTGGTAACTGGAGAGACTGTCCAATGTACATAGGCTAATTTGTTTTAGGATTTTTTCCCAAGAAGGAGGATAAAAAAGACCTTTAAATATGGCACATTTTCACTTTTTTCTTTTTATACACGTTCGCCTTGCATCACTTGGACTCGGTTACTGTAAGTTTTTGTATGGTAACTGGAAACTTACAATTGGTGTACATGGACTACTTTTTGTTTTAGGATGTTTGCCTGAGAAGGTTAATAAACAAGGAACCCTGTAATAGAGCACATTTTCACATTTTTCTAAATAGACATTGGGCCTTGTATTTAAAAATGGAATTTGCATCTAATGAGACTGTTAGGAATTTAATAACAAAAGAAGAAAGGGGAACATTATCTAACATTGTCCTGCATAATTTTGTTTTCTTAATGTACACACTCAGCTGTTAATGCTAAGGAGCGACTTTCTTTCCATTTCTTTTGGTTGAACCATTATAAGTTATGTTTATATAAAATGTACAAAGATGTATATCCATTTCTTCTTACTTGATATTTACTTTATTTAGAAATTTTATCAATCATATATTGTATATGGAGTATAGTAGAGGACTTTATGACAGAGTACTGGATCCCTTTTTTATATGAAAGTTAAGGTCAGTATTCTTAAAGTTGTGGAAATTCAGAGGACAGTTGTCAATTTTTGGACAGTAATCAGTTTCTTCAATCTTTCAAAATTTGGGATAAAAGATGGTTGTTATGGATACTTTATAGTATGTAGTCTGGTTAGCAACCCTAAATAAATAACATTACAAGTCACATTTCATTTTAAAAACATTTCATAAGGATAGAACTTTTGCTTGGTGACAGGTGGTTTAGGTTTTTACAGGAATCTGAAAATTACCCCTTTAAATGATCATCGGCACATTTACCATAAATTGTACGGTGATTTTTTTTATATTATAAGACATACTTTTATGGACTTTAACTTTGGTTATTAATAGTTAATGGTTTGAGCTTTCATTGTACATATATGACTGTTTGTTATTTCCTGATCATCACTGTGGAAATTTTGTGTTTCTATTCTATCCTTGGCCGGCATGGCTAGGTGGTTAGGGTGCTCGACTCGCAATCTGCAGGTCGCAGGTTCGAATCCCCATCCACCAAACATGCTTGTCCTTTTAGCTGTGGGGGAAATTATAATGGGACAGTCAATCCCACTATTAGTTGGTAAGAGTAGCCCAAGAGTTGGTGTTGAGGACTGCCTGTCTTCCCTCTAGACTTTCACTGCTAAATTTAGAATGGCTAGCGCAGATAGCTCTCGTGTAGCTTTGTGGGAAATTCAAAACTAACAAACCCAACCTGCTTGGTGAAAATTTTGATACTTAAGCTATCATAAATGTTCATTCTTTGTGCTTTCATGTTGTATATATGTATTTAATGTTAATTTTACAGGAACATCTCGGTATATAAATTTATGACTAACTTAAATTTATTACAGTCCAAACCTTGAGATATTATAATAATTGACAAAATAATTGATAATAACAACGATACATAACTCAGTTCAGTCTAATCATTCCTGTAAGTAGTTTATATTACTTACAATAATAGGATCATTATTTTAAATTCTTATGATTAGTCTTTCAACTTTGCTACAATAATTTAATATAGTCAATGATGTGGTATTAATTTATTAGTACCTTATTTTACAGGTAGTAGAGCATGAAGACAGCAGCAAATCTCTTAAACTTGGTGATTTTGGACTTGCTGTAGAAGCTAATGAATCTCTATATGTTGTCTGTGGCACACCGACATATGTTGCTCCTGAGATCTTGGCAGAAACTGGGTAAGAAGAAGAGCTCTAGTACAACTCTAATGACTGAAATATTCATGAATTTCACCCTTCCATAAATAGCTTAGAATTGAGGTAAAATTTTCTAGGTTTTTGTGCAGGTGTTCAGCAAGTAGTATGACATTTTTGTTAACTGAATATCTGAAGGTTGTAAAAAAATACTAATCCTTTTACTCAGGTTAGCTTGCCATATGCCCATGTCTAGAAACTAGTATCACTTTAGTCGTGTGTCTGACCACCTGAGGAGAGGCAAGCCAATCTCAAGGGGTGGGTCAGATACTTGTACAATTTGTAATAAGTTCAGGTTTTTCTTTCCTATAGATGTTGCTAGGGGTAGTTGGTGACATTTGCAGTGTTAAATTCTTGAATACTATACATTCAACATTTTGTCTGAATTTTGGCAATAAATAAGAATTCTTCTCGTATTTGTCCTGTATGAAAATTTTATAAACTTCTCTCATCCTCAGCAGCTAAAATAAGTCAACCTGTGAACGAGGAGGCTGACCAATCTGGTAATTACATAAGATTCACAGTAATTGTGAATAAAGATTTTATTTGTTCACTTATGGTTTTGTGGTTTTTTTCATTTGATGTCTTTTTCAGTTTATTTTCTGCAAAACATTTCTGGAATCTGCATTTTGATAATACTTTTGGACTTGTTTATGTCAGTTCTCAGTGTATCTGTATATCGCAAGTCTACTTGTTTCTTTGTAAGTTGTGACGATTCCAAAATTTTAAATGCATGATATTGAAACTTTGTTTTCTTAAGGTCATTTTGAATGCTTGTTTTATTATTTCTTTAAAGAAAAAACTCAAATCCAAGAATGTTCAAATCATAATTTTTAACATTTAATACTTTTTTAAATACAGAAGATACTTCCCTAAGTGTTAATATTATTTTTATTCTCAGTCTTTTTGTTTAATCCATGTAAGATTGATTTGGTTAACTCGAACTGGTAAATTTTTCTTTTCTATATATGTACAATGTACAGTTTCACACACTTATCTGTCACAAATATAACAAGGTCAATCAGACCTTCCATCACTCTTTTTGCAAAGACTGTGTCTACCCAGTGGGTCAGTGGTAAGTTTATGGACTTGCAACACTAAAATCCAGTGTTTAAATCTCTGCAGTGGACACAGCAGATAGTCCAGTGTGGCTTTGTTTTAAAAAACAAGCAAAGCCACAATTAATTTTTTATCTAAAATAAAATCTTAATTTATGTAGTGTATGTGTGTGATAGTCTTCTTACAGGTATTCTTTTGTCAATTATCCTTGTGTAACTTCAATGCTGCTATCTGTCACTGTGAGAATTTGTTTAACTCTTTCACCATGGGCTTGGTCCCAGGGACAGACCTCGTAATAATTTTGTGCTTGTTATAGTTTTCATGCTGTAACTTTTAATACAATAAACGTATCTTCACGAAATATTGCATATTATCAGTAAACAGTACAAGGCTTTTATTAAGTTTTAAGATTTTTTAATGCATTTTTTTTTTTTCAAATGTTGACTATTGAATATGACTAAAGTAATTTTTATTTTAAGATTAAAGATACTTTTATGCATCAGAAAATTTTACATGCAAAATCTTTATAACCTTAAGATAATTATCAAAAGTTTTTCAGAAAAAACATTTTATCTGTTATTTTCAATATTGTATCTCTGTGTGGGTTTGGTTGATTTTACCGACCTTGTAACCACCATAAAAAATTTGGAAATATATATAAATCATGCTTTGTACATTCTCGAATGATTACAGATTATAACACAAACACGAATGTTTATTCTAAATAGATTAAATTTCATAACATTATACAACTATTAAATATATTTAATATTTATTATTTTATTAACCTTTCAGCTCTGCCTGACTAACATTACATAAATTGCAATGATATGGCACGCGTACACTCATGTTACCGTATTCACGAATATTAAACTGCCCTTTACAAAGTGACCTGTCTTGGCTGTGTTCTAGTAGACCAGTATTTTGTAAAATACAGTCACATTTCGATTATAATATGTATATACATTACTATTATTTACAAACAAGTTCTTAAATTTTAGTTATTTTTTTAAAACATAGAACAGTAAATAAAGAAGAATAGAAAATGCTTCTCTTCTAGTTACGAACTTTGTACTCATTTGCTGCTTGCTGGAAGTTGTTAAGCCATATCAAATTTTTCACGTGGAGGATGTAAAAATTATTTTTAGGTTTCATATATGCATTTTGAAATAACAAAAAATCATAAATTACTATATCAATACCACTGAATTCCACTATAAGTTATCAAGCTTGTAACTAAGCTGTATTTGGGTCTAAAAAATGTTAGATTCCAAGCTGTAAGGTAAAACATTAGTGTCCTCGAAAAATCACCCACATGGGTCTACCTAAGATCACAGGTCAAAGGCATGGCATCACGTTTATAGACTTACATTCAAAATTTTATTGAACTACTATTCTATGAATGTATGTCAATAAGTTTGGTATCAAATTGTAGATTTGAATTAAAAAAATTAACAAATGTGTACTACTAAAATTTGAATTATAAAGTAAATATTAAAAAACAATAACTGAATATCGATTTTTGTATGTCACATGGTATGTTTAATGCAGCATTGGTTCAAATTAGATGGTTGTGATGTCCAAATAAAGTCTAATTTCTTACAAATTAGATACTAAATTTACCGATATGGACAGGCTATAATCTATGATAAGGATCTCCTATCTTTTCTATTTTCTGAGATACTGATACCTTTATCGAATACCGAATCAACCAAGGTGGTCCCGCCCACCTCTTCCATTTTTTGAAAATACTTGCTTATTTACACCTACTTTGCCTAACAATGTGCGTATAACCAATCAAAAGCTCAGAATGTCCCCTTAGCGGTTTTCTCAGCCTCTGTAGATTATTTGTGCGGGAAACTCTTTCTTTTCGTAATATTAACCTACTTCAGCTTATTTACTATGTGCAGTAATATTACTTTCTTATTATGATATGCTATTCATATGAAGATTTAGTGGATTTGAAGAATTGTAATTTATTTTTTGGTTTTTTTGCTTGCTTTTAGGTATGGATTGAAAGTTGACATCTGGGCTGCTGGAGTGATAACATATATCCTTCTCTCTGGTTTTCCACCATTTGTTAGGTAGGTTGTTTTAACTCGGTAATGATTTCAAGTGTTCCATGGTTTTTTGAATAGGATAATAATGTTCTGGTGTTAAATGTCAAACTGGTGAAGCAGTGGGACCAATATGACTAATGTTTGTGATGAAAATCACTTTAGACTCCAGTTTTTTTCTGCATTGCTCTTAACCTCTTACTACCAGCGATCTGCAGGACCTAACATCCCTATCATTATATTTTGTTCCAAAAATAAAACTAGTACATGAAGTTGTTTGAAATTTGACAAGATCCTTCCTAAAAGTATGTAGTGTCAGAAAAATAAAATATTTCATTTCGATTTTTTCTATTTCTAATATAAAAAAAAATTGTTATTTAATGTAATTATTTGCACTTGAACTCTGAATAGCTCACCTGCAGTGATTTTCATTTTGAGTATAAAAATACTATTTGTTACATTACGGTTTTCACATTTCATTCATATAATCTCTAGAACTTCCTAAATGAATATTGGAAGTTTTTAAAGTAAATGTTTGTATTTGATTTTCCATTTTCTCTACTATGTCACTAACTCTAGCTATTATCATCAGTATTTATAATTAAGAAATTCAAATATCTACTTTATTTTATTAATTTCATAGATTAGCCTTAAAATATTGTCTTTGGTTTGTATGCATAATTTCACATCTTTATCATTTTGCGTAGTTTATTTTTAATGTTTTATTTTCCTTTCCAATTCTGTGCCTTTTATTATTTATGTCGATACATCAACTGGTGCCAGTGAGCCATTATAAAGTTATGATTGGCAGAGATGCATTTGCCACATGCAAAATCATCAAATCATGCTGCATATGCCTGTTTTTATAAGCATTCATGAGCAAGTCGACCACAGGTAAAATAAAAGTCATTAAATCTTTCAAATATGAATTTTAAAATGGAAATCATACGTAATTAACTAAAATATAAAAGTAAAACCTTAATGCAGTTTAACTGCATCAAACTAATATGCATAAGGTGAGAAATAATAGCCAAGTGCTAGGGATACTGATATCCACAATGGATATAATGCAGCAATTCACTTGTCATTTGAAGAGTAATCTATTGTTTGCTTTCCTTCTAGTCTGGAGAGACTAACCATGAAATCTGCTCCTTCTATTGGTTATAAGCATCCCAATAAAGGCTAAAAAAAGACTGTTGCTTAGCATCAAATTACTTTGGAGTGTGAGCCTGGTGTCCAGCAGTCAGGGAGGGGAAGATATAACCAATAATTTTAGCTGTTGAAATATGAAACTAATGTCTAAAGTTTGAACTTGTACCTTTAGAAGCTCATCGAGACTATAGTAGAGGTACTAGTGAACTGCAGCTCATGTTACACTATTGAATTAAGCAAACTTTGTGAAAATGTTTTTCTTAATATAATTATTTATTTCACCTAATCTTAACTAACGCAAGTTTCCTGGGTCGTCACCATCGTCTTTTATTTTGTTGTTCTTGATGACATTTAAACCCTACTTTTTTATACTAGTGGTAGTATAACACTAAATATTTTTTATTTAATTAAATAATGTACCAAAGCACACAGACTAATAATGTGTCAAAAGCAGACAATGTCCCATAACTATTACAATGTTTCTGGCTTTTTAACTATGAGATGAGCCATTAAAACTTCATCTGAGTTTGTTGATGTGTTTCCTGTGGGAACTGAGCTTAAACTAAAAGCAAAATTAACAATTCTTTTTACAGAGAACAATGTAATATATTATACGTCATTTAATATGTTAAAACCTTGGTTTTCTATTGGTTGTAAATGTAGTATTGACGTCGCAAAAAACTATTGGCAATTTCCGAAAGAGAGGATATGACAGATGGATGTGGCAAGAGGGGTCTTATTGTATATTTCATGGCTCTGTGACCAAATATGATTGAATGCTACAAAAATCATGCTTTGCTTGTGAAATGTCGATACCATAAAGAGTAATTCACATTAATTTCATACTTCTTGAAGGGGTGGTAAATAAATTAGAGAAGATGAGCATGCTTAGAGAGCAAATGTCAACTCTCATGGTAGGGGAAATTCTTTTTCCTTCTTTTTTTTTTAAAAGTAAATTTAAAACTTGTATACTATTAACCCTATTGCCACGGGTATCCTTTACAGCACATGACACAAAGTTTTAGTGTTATGCATTCAAAATTTTATGAAACTACTTTGTTTGTTATACCAATTAGAATAGCATAAAATTTTAGTTAATAATCCATATTTTAATAGTATACAGGTTTTTAAGTTCTTAATTCTACAAAGCAATATTTTTTAAAAATCCTGAGTTTCCACTAGTGTGACCCACGTGACACATTTTCTCTTAGCATGTCATCATCCCTATTTTATCCACCACTCTTCAATATAGTTACTCTCTATAAAATTGTTATTGCTTAGACAGACCATAATTTTTATAGCCTTCAATTTTGTTTGGTTACAGAACTATGAATAGAATATCAGACCTCTCCAGCCACACCCACCTGTTACATCCTCTCTTTCACAATTCGTTGATAGTTCTCTCTTATGTTTTATTATATATCTCCTATAACCAATAGAAAGTCAAGGTTTTCATATAGCAAATGACATATTGTATAACATTATGTTCTGAATAGTTAGATGTCAATTTCACTCAGAGTACTAACATCATTCTCGTGGGAAAGTTAATGACTAGCTTGGATGAATTTGTAACGGCTCTTGTCACATAGCCAGGAAAGTTTTGAGAGGTAAGTGAATTTGTCTACTTTTTGCATGTTATTAGTCTATATTCTTTGGTGCATTATTTAATTAAATAAAAATTAAGTGCATTGCTATCTATAGTATAACAGAAATTAAGGGTTAACACTGTCCAAAAACCGACAGCAAGAAAAAGAAAGATTGGTTAAGTATTTTATTTCTTGTTTTTCATGTTTGTTCTTTATGTATGATTATAAAAGTAACTAAAATGTAAAAATAGGGATCATGTTTGGTTTGTTAAGATTAATTAGGTAAAATAAATAATAATGATAATATTATAATAAAAATGTTTCATGAGGCACATGTGAGCAGCTTGTGGGTAATGTAATTTGTTAGCATAACAGGAGCTGCATGTTCCCTGATTGATTTACAACTTATAATGACGCGGACAGTAGTTACACTGTTCAAAGGGTTATAAAATAATAAAATTCAATTGTAATTTTTTTTTTTATGAGGTCGGTCAAATTTGTTTCGTATCCTCCACATGTAAAATTTTAACAGGCTTAGCAACAGAGTTCAAAGTTTGTAATTAGAAGAGATAATTGTTTTCCTTACCTCATTTACTGTTCTATGTTTTAAGAAAAATACGTTTAAAACTTATTTCTAAATAGCAATAATCTATATACATATATAAGGTATAATATTTGAAATGTGACTATTTTACAAAATACTACTCTACTAAAACGCAGCTAAGACAGGTCACTTTGTAAAGACTAAAGGTTAGTTTTATATTATTGGATACAGTAACATGTGTGCATGGTCAATATAATAAAGATAATAAATATATATAAATGTATAATGTTATGAGATTTAAGATATTTAGTCTAAACATTTGTGTTAAAATTTGTTGTCATTCTAGAATGGAAAAGGCATAATTTATATTTATTTTCTAATTTTTATGGTGATTATGAGATCAGTCAAATCTACCAAACTCATACAGAGATTTGTTACTGAAAATAATAAGTAAAATATAGTTTTTTTCTTAAACATTTGTTAACTATCTGGACATTATAAAGATTTTGGATGTGAAATTTGAAAATTTTGATGCATAAAAGTATTTTTAATCTTAAAATGATAATTACTTTACATGTTTGATAGTCAACATGCAAAAAGAAAAAAGGGGGGCATGAGAAAAACATTGCTTTAAAAACCTCAAGACTGAATATAAAAAAAAATTATATTTTGTGTATGAAAGCATTGTAATGTTTACTGATAATCAGCCAAATTTCGTTAACATGCGCTTACTAATTTAAAAGTTATAGAATGAAAACTATAACAAACACAAAATGATACGAGGTCGGTCCTAGGGACCGAGTCCATGATGAAAGAGTTAAACTGCAATGATTCTTCCATCGGGGACTGTGAAGAAGAGATTCCAAACTTCTTTATTTATAATTAAAGAAGATCTGGACCTATCTTCAGGAAACATTGGTTTTACAACTACTAATTTATAGTATATCCAATTAGTTTAAACTTAAAAAAAACAGTGGGTAGAGTTAAACTGTAGTTTGAGTTAACTGGTATTTAATAAATAAGGTTTGTAGATGTATCCTTCTAAAAATATTAGTTTCCTTATTAAAAAACTGAGCTTCATGCTGGAGGGATACCTGAAGTTCAAAAATACCTTGATTTATAATTGATAATGTTTGTCATTATGTCCATTAATTCAAGAATGTCAATCTTTTATTTGTAAAACCTCTATGAAGCTTTGTTTTAATTTTAAAATTTGGAAGACAGCAATTCTTTTAAAAATAATAATGATTATGGCAGCTTTTTTCTCTCATTTCTAAGTTGCCATACATAAAGTATTAGATAAATCAAAGCTTTGAAATTATTTATTAGAAATTTTAGTTGCCTATATAAATTGGCACATAGAATTTGGTAATTGCTGTGAAATAGTTTTTAGTGTGTGTGTGTGTTTATGTATATTTACTAGCTTATTTTTTTAATATAATAACTGAACAGTGAAACAAATGACCAAGACGAACTATTTGACCAGATTTTAGCAGGAAAGTTTGAATTCACTAGTCCATTTTGGGATGATATCTCTGATTCAGCAAAGGTAAAAAGATTGCTTTTTGTGTTATACGAGAATATTCTGTAGAAGTTGAAATGTTACTGTTGGACAAAAGTGAAGCAGTATGCATGTAAAAGTTAGATGAAATATTCAAGACAATTTGCATGTGAAATCAACATTTACAGTCGATTGCATTTACTGACATAATGAAGGTGTAGAAAGTAATTTCCAATTAGATGAAAAATTGTATTTGGTTGATGTAAGCTATTTAATTTTTTTTAATTATGGTATTTAAAATTGGAACCTAATGAACAAATCTTAGAATTTGCCACTGCTTTTAATACTTTGTTGAGGAAGTCCATGGTAGTCAGCATTTTATATAAGAATAATTTAGAGGTTTTAAATTAACATGAGTTGTTTTTACAATACTCTCTGTAGCTCCAAAATTCATAATTTTTCAAATCTTCCATAAAAATATCAAACACCTCCTAGAAAATCTTAAAATTTAAAATTCTATTCCTGGCATCTTGGGAAGTCAATCTGATATTGACTTTGACCTGGTGTAGAAAGTTAGTGGTTTTAATGAGTGAGGATTGAGGAATTCATATAGGTGAGATTGATGTTTTTATAATAATTTTACAAGATTTAATGTTAAGACATCAGTATTTATGTGTCCAGACAGATAACTAATCTGACTTCATCAGGTTATTATTCCAAAATACCTTTTATTACCATCTTATGAATGTCAACCACCAATTTGAATTGAATGTTAGTCCTGATCTTCCCAACTATATTTTAAATAGATTGTTAAATCTTTACTTAAATAGCCATAATTCTGGGTTGAAATTGTAGATTTTTTTGTCTTATTTGTTGCGTATTTTCTTTAGAGATGTTAATTGTCTCTCTTGTGATTGTCTTTAGGAGCTGATTTTGAACATGCTTCAGGTTGATCCTCGGAGCAGGTTCTCTGCTTCCCAAGTTCTGGAACATCCCTGGGTAGCAGTAAGTTTATTTTTATCAACCAAACCTATTTGATTTTTAAAACATCAAGTTAAAGTTTGTACATTCATTTTGTTCATTCTTCCTATTGTGATCAAGTAATCCCTTCTGTTAGTTAGAAGGTAAAAGTTTTAATTTTATATTTATGAAATGTTCAATATCAGTTTGATAAACACAGCTTTTTTCTATTTTGTTTTTGTAGAGTAATGTTCCATTTTTGATCATTTATTTTTTTTGTTCTTTAGAAGTAACTAAGAAGATAATTTTCCTTTCACCTACAGGCTGATACTGCTCGAGACAACGATATGCACTTGACTGTCTCACGAAAACTTAGCATGCACTTTGACCATAAGCCTAAATCTTCACTCCAATCTGCAGGCATTGCTCTGATTGCTGTAAGTAGCTGATACTAACCCCCTCCCCCAGCACACCTTAGTCCTTCTAGTCCACATAGCTTACCCAGCAGTTGTGTTTGTCTGCTACCTTAGGTCTCTTTAGTTTCTAGAGTGCAATTGAAGCCTAAAATTAAAATATATACTTGTTTTATTTTTTTATGATGTAACAAGTATTGGATGTACCTTTTCAAGATCTAGTCATACCTATCTCTGGTAATTCAAATGTTATACCATAAAAAATAACCCAAAGCTGTATGATACATTTTCCTTTTATTTTGCTTTTAGTGTTACTTCTTCACCTTCAGGAACAGTCGTGTGTTAATGCATGCACACACGTTAGTACACATTTTACTTTTTAAGTGAATTATCAATATTCATCATCATCATTGTTCCACATATGCAACCAGCAAACTTTACCGATATACAAGTATTTGCAATTTTCATAATTGGATTTCAATTTTGATATAAATTTTTTACACAAAATAAACTGGTGTTTGCTCATTATTCAGACTTCTTGCATGTTTGAAAGCTGTTAAAGATATTTCCATTCATGTGCAGTTTAAATAATTTTTCAACACAAACAACACTGTAATGTGTTTACAAACATAGCACTATAGTGGGTGCTATTTGAGATATAAATTACACTTGAAGTAAATGAAACTGTGTGTGTGTGTGTGTGTGTGTGTGTGTGTGTGTGTGTGTAAATAATGCTTTAGCTGTAATAATGGTCTCTGAAGACCTCCTATGTGTGGTATTTATATATAATTATATCATAACAGTAGGACCCTAGGTCTTCTTTGTATGTGAACCATGCTTACACACCTGTTCTGTGTTAGGTATACATGGAGGTATGTAATAACAGATCAGTAACAGTATACCTAATCATCAGGCATAGAAAACTTCTAATGTAAGCAAGCATATGTTTTTGCTAGAGTGAACTATGAAAACAGCTACACTGTCACTGTTGGCAAGCTTAAACTTTTTTATTGTTCTAAGTTGGCTTTTGAAGAGTGGCTTTATAAGAACAAAAACTAAATCTAGTACAAACTTTTCTATAAACTTGTATTAACTATCAACATAACTTAAGGAAAATCTTCATTAAATTGTTTGTGCAATTTTACTGAAATATTTCAGTACATACTTGATTTAACAATGCATTGGTTAAAATTAAGGTACGAGATTATGGAAGAAATCCTACCAGTCCATTTCTTAATGTAAATTTTCAAGAAAAAAGTCCATTTCACCATCTCAAAATGCATCTTTGAAGTGATGGTGATTTTTGTACGAAATAAGTCCATGTTCAGTTGTTAAAGCTTTTAATGGTTCATTCAACTGCGAGTGATTCGTTATCTTTAACTTCCTGTAGAAAATTTCTGAATGTTGTTGCACTATTGACATTTTCTTTTTATATATTACATTTTTTATACGTTTTTTTTTCTTTTGTGTATTTATGAATTGGTCTCATTTTTTGTCAAAGATTGCTTCATCTTTTTTACCTTATTACATTACTATGGTTATACAGAAGCAGTCACATATCGTATTACAGAGATTAATGTAGATTTGAAACTTATTTATTAGTATTAAACTTTTTAAATATGGTGAAGATTTTTTTGATTTTTTTTCAGTTTTTTGAATAAATTATAACCTTAAATTTGAATGAAGACTTAACTACTTTGAATTAGTTTACTTCTTAATTTCATGTATTTAAACACTTTGAAACTATGAGCACATAGAAATCAGATAAATACAGAATTGGAAAGTGCCTTTGAGGATCTATTGTTGGGTAGTTGCTTCTATTCTGACATTTAAGCTTGACCCAAACATGCAAATATGTCCGTGTTTTCTGATTTATTGGTCAAGGGTAAAAATCTGGACTTTATACATATACCTGCATTTAATATGTTCATAAACATGTTCCTGGTATAGATGTACTATGGAAACACCTACTTTTGTCAAGTGAAGACAACATTAGAGAAATTGCGGGAACACTTTAATTGTCACAAAATCTATCTTGCTCTACTTTTGTTAATTTCTTTTCAGTAAGATTTCCTTGACTGTCAAAAGCGCATGAGAATGTTTTTGTAGGCACTTCTTGTTTTTGCATAGTTACATTCAAATTGTCGGTTAATTGTCAATGTTTCAATTGAACTCTTTTATGAGTAAAAAAAGAACATGAAGACTTTCATTATAACAATTGCAATACTTAGTGTTTAATATATCTTTTGACTGACACCATTGCTATTTACTGTGAACTGTCCATTCAGTAGTTTTTCAAAGTCTGAGATATATATGTATATATTATTTTATGATATTAAATTTTACTCAAGGTATTCTGTAGCAATAGATTTGTTTTATTTAGAATATATCTGTATAAAATATACCAGAAAGTTAGACAGGGCAGTCTTTTTATATATATATATTTATATTTGGATACTACCCGAGGTTATTATGTTTATCACTATTTCTAAGAGTCAGTGAAAAGTTTTATGGGAGTATTGAAGGACATCGTTAGCTTATAAAGCTTAAGAGCAGTCTCAAAATTCCAAAAATGCTGTAAAAAATAAACAGAAGAAACACAAGCTGCACATCCTTCATCTTTGTTAATATTTATTTTTTCCTGCATTGGAACACCTCAAGATAGATATAGATATGTATATGTCATTGTTAAAATAAGCACTAACACAACTTTTGGTGATTCTGTTGTAGGGTATATAAAATAGAAAAGTATACTAATGCAGACTAAGAAAGGAATTTGTTTAAAGCCAAAATTTAAACACCTCAATTTTGCACGTTTCTAACGTGCACAACTAATAACAGTGTGTAATATCTAGGTTTTGTTATTATAACTTTTACTGTGATATCTGGTTTTATGTAATAGCATTCCACTTTTAAATGTCTTTCAAAATTAAACTCGTATTAATAAAAGTTAAAACCCTTTGTACAGTCTTAGCTTTACTGGCATGGAATCTTGCTAAACCTAACCTCCTACTAACTTTCAATTGGTTTGACCTCTGTGATTTCCAGTAACGCTAGTATTGTGATTTACTTGCACTATGTTTGCTGAGCTCTGTCATACTGCTTGTTTTCCCTCCTTGCCTTCTCCTCTCTTCTACTCTCACGTTATCTCAGAGTTGGAGCCAGTGACCACCACGGGGTCAAACATGAGGAGTAAGTATACTGTTCCTTATTTTTTTCTTCATGTTTTGTGTTTATTTCAGCTTTGTAATGATTTTTTGTTTTTGTTTTAGTTTTATTCTTTATCAAGGTTATTGCAGTATCAATTTGTTGTGCATAGAAGCTGTGAAACTAATTAAACACTAAACAGTGATAACAAGGATCCTGTTAACCTATATCCAATGTGGTTTCTAGAATTTCTTTAAAGCAATATTTTTTTAATATTGTCATCTTTAGGCATCAAAATTAGCTATAAAAAATCAAGTGGCAGTTATTAAATATATTTTCATATGATAATGATATAACTTGATTATAAAAATTAAAAATATATATGAATCTCTTAGCAAAAGAGCTAAAGCAAGTAGTTAAATAGTTTTGTTCTAAAGACACTGAAGACAAAATTCGTTAATTTTCAAGGTATAGTTTTTTAAAAAGATTACATTAAACTATATAGCACAGTTATAATTATGGGCCTAATAATATAAAATTAATCAGTGTAAAAGGTTACTAATTCCATACATTAATGCAAAATAATGCTTGGTTTTTTAAGTCTATTCCAATGAGTAAGTTAAAAGAAAAATTAATATTATGTCAATTATTTTAAGACCAATAAGCTGATTATATCAGTACTTAATTTGTTCAAATTTCTTGTCATGCTTCAAATAAGTAATAGAAACACTAAATTGTAGAATTCATTTTAAGTATTGTACAAATTGTTTAATATATTTTTGGTGATACCTTCTTCATACAGCACGAGTTCCTTGAAACTTTCTTATTTGTTTTTATTTTATTTTTATACTATTCAAGAACAGATTTGCTACTAAATTTTCTTTGTTGATGAATGGTTTAAAATGCTCATAACTTATTGGTATGCAGAAGACTCAAAGCATTTTTTAGCATTGCTCAAAAATTACATCTAGGCCAGCCATGTCAATGTTTTTTAAAGTTACTTTTTGTATAATAATGCAAATGATTGCTGATGACTACCTCTATTTAGTACCACATCATTGCATTTGATCTAAACTTGTCTAGAAAACATTTGTAAAACTTAAACTTAAAATACATAATTCTGAATAGGAATTTTGATATTTATAAACTTTGAGCAATAATAAAATAATTTTGACCTTTAAAATTTTAGTTTTTAATAATACAATAAGATTTCAGTTCCAGTTTTAACATAATTGTATTATGCTTTGTGAAATTGAATAGAAATACATCAGAGTGGTAATTTTCATGTAGGATGAGGAATATGTGGATATATTGGAACATGTACAAATTCTATATTCTTGTATAACACAAGATCAATATGAATGTAATTTTAGCAGCAAACTTTTATGTATTGACTGTTCATACTTCAATGTATTACGCCACTCGTTACTTTGTATACCTTGAAAGAATTTCTATTGTACTATATATTTACATCAGTAGATCTTATGTATATATGTTGTAGTGTAACCTTTGTTTTACTTTAATACCCCCACCCCCATTATTAAAGGGGTTAGGCTACTCTATAATTTGCATGTGACATGTTATTAAACTGTTGACTTAGCTGTATTTATAATGTTAGTTGGTTTTCAGTGAAGCTCCTGCAGCCCTCTTTATTCATTGTTTAGCAGTTTACTTACATTCCTGCTTTTGTTAGCTACACCTCATTTGGCTGTGGTATAACTTTTGTTTAGCATTTTTCTATATTCGGTTTTGCTGCTTTAGCTGTACCTAACTTGTTTACAGCTTTGTTTAAAGCTGGGGTTTAATGAACCTTGGTACTATAGCTAATAGCTAGCTCTAAATATTTCACTTTTCAGTTCAGTCAAATTTATGTTAATAAAATGCAAATGGAATTCTATATGATTTTAAATGTGTAGTAATAATAATAATTAAAAAAAAAAATATGCCTCAAGTGTTTGAAGGTTGCCATCACTCTTAAGTTATTAAGAGCTGTTGTATTTTCCTCTATCTTGAATTGTATAAAGTTGTTAAAACAAAACTAAATGATGAATTTTTGTTAAATTACTGAACAAATATATCTCGTATGGGAAAAATAGATGGATACACTCAGTTGCTATTGGTAAGATAGATAAGTTGTCTATCGTTAGGGGTTATCTGTAGATAATGAATTGTCACACATACCAGCCATACTTCTCCCCCCCCCCCAAAGGTATTGTTTATGTGCATACAAATATATTGTTTAAGTTAAGCTACAATTAAATGTATGTTTTTGTATATGTAAGAATATGTATTATATTGTTTTGTTTGACATACCTAAGAATTTTTATTATCTTTGGATACTTTCATTTGTCATGCTGTTAGATATTAGATTTTTTAGCCATTCTTCTGCCTTGCAAACACTATTTCTCAACAGTTTGTTTTAGAAATTATCTGTTAATATATTTGTAATTTAAAAACCTGAAAGCTTTAGTTATGGGAATGAAAGGTTAGTTTTGTAAGACAATTCCCTACACAACAAGTTCAGTTTTCAGAAAATTAAGTACTTATCACAGTAATAAGCTTTGACGAACTTGGTAGATTGACAGGAAATACCACATATTTGTAAACAGTTGTTAAAATTAATTAAAATGTGTCATTCATTCACATGAGTCGTGACAACTTAATTTTTAGGGTTGGTTTACAAAATTGGTTTTAAAATGGTGTTTCTTTTATTTAGTCTACTGCTTTGGACAAAGGGCCCAACTATTTCAATTATCATCAGCAGAATAAGTCGGCCAACTTCCATACTTCAGCCATTCCAGCTTTGACAGAATAAAGACCTGGTGTTTAGTTTGGTAGAGCTGTAGCCAGCATTTACAGTTCACTCACTGCCAATAAATGATTTGCTTTTGATGCTTTTTTTTTCTATTTACAAAACCTGCCAATGTTTCAATTTTCAACTTGGTTTGAATAAAATAGTTGCGTGTGTTAACAGAATTGCAAAGTAGAACTGATAAACAAATGTTAATTTCTCAGAGCACCTTCGTCCATATAAAGTTAAATAATTCATGGTCTATAAGAAGTTTAGTAAATAGATATAATGAATTTTATTAAAAAATCATTGTACAAGTCAAGTTTTTCTTCTCGTGAGTTTGATCTAAACACAGTTAAAAGAAAAAAATGTACCATAATACTTTAATGTATCTAATAATATGTATTATTGTAGAAGTAATGGAGTTTATTATACATTTAATTCTTAATTTCAGGAAATAACTAGAAGACTTTGAGTTTGTTTAAAGTAATACTCTTCAATCTTATAGTAAGAACTGTACAGTGTGGGTCATTTGATTCTGCTTATTCACTCTTGTTTTTTTAAACCTTGCATTAAGATTGTACTGAATTTCTCACTGTTCTATTTAATATACAAAAAATAATGATACTTTGCTTAGAACCTTCAATGAAGACAGAGTGGTATTAGGGTTCTGTTATTGGTTCAAATTTGATCGTGTTTGTGTACTGCAGCATTTCTAATTTCATAATGCATTGTACTTGGATTTTTGTTTTGTACTGTTTCTGCTGAAGTAATAGTAACCCTTATGTGTATGAGTATTTATATTTATTTTGTCCTTGAGTACTTAAATCAAATAATTATAACCAAAGACACTAAATGTCTGTTTTTTATATAAAACTTATTTCTCATTTTTTAACTTGTGTATTATTTTATGTTATCCAGTTTGTGCCAAATGTAAAGTTATAATTCAAAATTATTTATCAGTAACAATTTTTAATGTGTCCTGAAGTCTGCAATATTATTTCGAATTTATGTATGAAGTAAATGGAAAAAGAAATTGTAGCAAAACTTTAGTTCCTAATATTTTTATTTTACTTACTAATATTATGTAGTGTTCAGTAGTTTTAACAGAATGTATTGCTTATACTTAGTTTGTAATATTTCAACTTTTAATATTAATATTGTCAATAAGAGTTAGTAGCATTGACAGTATGTCACAGAATCTTTTGAGCTGTTAACAGATAAATTTGGTCATCACAAGACAATCTGGTATTGATGTTACACTGTTTACACATGTAAACTAGTTACTGAAAAGGCTTTTATTATTCCATATTCATATATGTCTTATTTCTTTCTGTCTTTGACTACTTGGTCTTTGTAATAGACTACTACAAACTTCCTGCCTAAATTTATAACTATAATTTCAATGATACTGCACTAGATTAAAGATTTGCAGCCTTTATTTTTATCCACTAATTATAGTTTTGTCGTGGAGATGTGTGCATGTTTTAGATTTACCAAAAGTCAAACTGTATATACATTTCTCAGAATCAACGTATACAATTTTCTGAATTTACAAGATTCAAAATTTGTTATTAAAAACTTCCTATCGCTATTTTAGAGCAACATTTAGCAATCTGACTGAAGAATGGCTTTTGTACTGAATATCTTGAGTAGATAACGTGAAGATTTATTTAGAAAGTTGCTTGAGCAAGAAGTAAAGTTGCATTTATTGATAAAAGTGAAAGATGAATTTATAAAGATAGGCAATATAATTATACATAGGTCATGATATCTGATAATTAAGTAAATGTCAATGAAACATAATATACTAGTTTCTATATTGATGTAAGACTTAGAATTTTCCACAATGTCTGTAACATACTGTAAAAGAAAGACAAAGAGATTTTCGTGTAAAGTGAATTATAGAACTGGCAATGCAACATAATGTCATGTACATTGGATAAGAATTTTACATTACATTATTGCAATACATCTAAACTTCAAATAAGGAAACATCAAAGGAATTTCTCAAAAATATAAAGAACTGTATTCAGACTTAAAGTAATAATTCTATAATACTAGTGTAATATTCTTCAAGAAATCTATTCTTGACTATAAAGGCTAACAAAAAATAAATTATTTGTGTTGTGTTTAACTGATTTGTGTTTTGCTAGTTTGTGCTTGTAATCTCACGTATATAAAATGAAGTGATAGTTATTTCACGTGGCTGTGAAACTTTTCATAGAATCTATACTTTTACTACCAGCATCATTTTAATTCTCTTATAGATAAAGAAAAAAACTAAACAGTTCCCGGGTCGTAATACTTGTATGAGTTTATATATGGCTCAAATTTAAAACTAGAATAAAGTGGTTTGAAAAACGATAGTTGTGAATGGCTTCTTCCAAAGATTAATAGAACTGAATGTAATGAGTGAACATTGTTTAAAACATGTGAATATTTTTTAAACCGCCCGTATCTACAAATTGGGTAATCTCATGTTGGTCAGAAAAATGAGCCATTGCAGTAAAGTTTTTTTTTTTTTCCTATTTCGAGTATTATCATTGGCCAAAGTGACTATGATTTAGTTTATTTTTAGCTTCAGTGGACCACTGGCTGCTCCAAATCGATGAATTGAAATTTCCGACGACTCCTTCAACAACTAACGAAAGAATTGCAATCTAGTTCAAAATGAAACCTTTATCTTGCAAATGGCAAGATGTTCAAAATGCTTAACATGATCTCGTTGTGGCTGAATGTGATGGATTATCAATTTCTGTTAAACTGAGTCGGAGACGTTGAGGAAGCGGTCATAATATATATTGGCAAGTACTAATAATGGAACAAACTGCAGAAAGAAACGACCATTGCCTAATTAAAATGAGAATGTTTTAAATATCAATGATGAAAGTGTACGTGATGATTACAAAAAAGTGAATACGTCGTGAAATAATGCAAAAAATGTATATCGGAGATTTTCTTAATATATGCTTCTTTGACGAGAAATTTACCAAATCGATAGTTATGTGAAAGTCAATTCCTTAACTCGACTGATAAATCAAATCATATAATTACCTTCAACGTTTCAGTATTAAAGAAAATTGGTCTATTATTTTACCCAATGATAAGACTAATTATTGCTCAATATGAAAAACAAATTGTAAAAGATAGCAAAAAAGCCCAAAGAAATCATATCCAGTTACAAGTTAAAGAAAAGTATAACAAGTACAATCAAAACTTCCGCTGTATTTTATCCAATATAGGGTGTTATCAGCTCCATTGTATGCTTGACTAGAAAATAGTTTTCCATTTCTGTAAAATCGATATCAATACCCAATAACTACCTGATGTTTTAGCTTGATACAATATATTGTAAACGCATTCCGAGTGAGGCTATTTACAGTTGTAGTGCTGGTTATGTTACAATCCTAATATATAGCTTATATTCGTTGATACATCGATATGTGTGTAGCCATATCTTCATCTATACTTAGTATTTTGTTCTAAAAAAAAGCTGAGAAATCCCTATAATTAGTATTGTCGTAATTTTATTTTTGCAGTCGAATTTCGGCAGCTCTGTTTCCATTCTCTTTTGCGTAATTAATCACGCTTAATTTAAACTTAGCTGTGTATGACAGTCTCTTTTCTTTAGACATCGTAAGGAGTGAAAAAATAGAACGAAAAATGAAGAAAACTATTTCGCTCCAGAGGCCTAAGATACGGTACTTCGGCTTTCGGTGACGCATCCAACTTTACTGTAAGCACGTGCCAGACTGCCGAGCATCAAATGAAAATTTAAATACCGATTAGGCGATTACCGATGCTAATTGCATTAAGCACTCTAATTGGTCAAGCGCATTGCACATTTGAATCCAAGGCAAGCACTCAAAAGATTTTTTATTTGTTAAAGATAGGCCTGAAATAGCCTTATTCTGCTCCACATTAAACAGGGATCGTCGTGTATTTACAAGCTTTTTCACTCTCATCCATTACTATAATTTATTTTTTTATTATTTAGGGAGCATTATAAATAGTTATGTTTTTAAAATAAAAAAATACTATTGTTATAAATAACACATTCAATTGAACTAAACTATGCATGCCTATTTAAATATATTTACACATGGCTTGTGTATATCGTATATATACATGTATATTATTCATACCTTCGGTGTGTACGACGCAAGCAGATTTTGACATAAAATTTTGGGGTAAAAAGTGCGTCTTATACACCGAAAAATACGGTATATACAAATATATCATTAATAACTATTAGATATCTACATAAAATATTTAGTCAAGATGTTTTACACTGAATCACACTGTGACAAAGTATGAACAAATATATCATTAATATCTTTATTAGATCTAAATTTGGACAATAATTTTTTGCAAGGATACACGTCTTGATTCTGTTTGTTTTATTTGGTTTAACAATAAAGAACAGATTTTGTATGTCATTGAGGCTAACAGTCAGTAAAACACACTTAGCATAACAAAACAGAAATCACATATTTCGCGTTTAAATATAACTTTCCAAGATCTATATACAAGTCTCATTTTTTGAAAAATAACTGTTTAGAAACGTAAGGAAATAAGATTATTGTCCATCGTCTTGCAATATGAGCTGTGTTCTCCAAGTTTATCCGAGAGGTAACACTTGGATGTAGTTTCTGAATCTGTAAGTTTTGTTTGGTTTAACAATGAAGAACGTAATTTGTATGTCAATAAAACAAACTTAACTATTCATGCACGTCACTCTATTATTCTAAAAATAATTACACTTGTACACATCTTCCAAGTTGAGAATAATAATTGTAATGAAAAAACGTGAACAGTTTAACAATGAGAACGGATTTTGCATGTCACTGACCTTAACAGTCAGTCAGTAAAACAAACTTATCTATTCATGCACTACGTTACTTCACTATAATAATAAAAAAAGTACCATTAATATTAAAATGACCATTTTTTCAATATGTTGATATACTTCTAAGTTCTGTGATCTCACGACAAAAGGTATGGTCTACAATAAAAGACGTGTCTATCCATTACGTAAAATCAGTTTATATGAACGTTCCTTTAAATTAACGTAAAAACTGTTAGACATCAACAACACGATTAGATTTATCTCTATAGTCTTGCACTTTACATAACGATACAGAAAACTAAATGTACAATTATGAAATTCTCAATAGTCGATGGTACACTAGGAAATTATTTTCTGTCTCTCGGCTATTACTTTCTGTTTTCGAACTAGAACTCGCATATTTGTCGGTTGAATGTAACATTACAAATATATCAAGTTTATCTATTCATGCATTTTACATAACAATACATAAATCACATATTTGTCATTTAAATATCTTACCAAGATCTATACAAAAGGCTAACTTTTTGAAAATGTATTGGTTTAGACACGTAAAGAAATAACAGTATTGTCCATTGTCTTACAATTTGGGCTGTGTTCTTCAAGTTTATCCGAGGGTTATCATTTAGCTTTAGTTTCTGATTCTGTTTGTTTTATCTGGTTTAACAACGAAGAACGGATTTTTTATGTCACTGAGGCTAACAGTCAGTGAAACAAAATTTATATATTCATGCACTTCACATAACTATTGAACAACATCCCACCTTTCAAACTATACTTGTACACGTCTTCCAAGTTGAGAATCGGGCCGTCGATAGGGAAAGGGGGCAACTGCCCAGCGACCTGGGCAAATGAAACATGGTTATGGCGTAAAGCCTGCAAGACACCTTTAGACTATGTCTTCGTTTAATCATAAAAAGCCTAGTTTTTGGTTTTCTTTGCATATAGACGCTTGATACATTAAGAACGACTGAAATAATAATTTGAGTAATAATTAATATACATTTGTTACTTTATAGATTTAATAGATATTTGTTGTTACTATATTAACGTTTTTAGGCTTATACTATGAGTTAAAAATGGCTACTGCTATGATTTTGTCTTGTTTATGAGCTCATTGCTGCCCTAATTTATGATCTTCTTGTTAATAAGTAATGTTAAAAAGAGATAAAAAGGAGGCCCGGCGAAGATGTTTGCCCCGGGGCCCGTGCCGGCTCTCGACTCTCCTGTTGAGAATAAAAATCTTAATTTAAAAACATGAGAATTCCAATTTTTATTTAGAAAATTAACCTAAAAACAACCCTGTGTTCTCCTACAGATTTGAACTAAAACTAACAACTAAGAGGGAGAGTGCTGTTACCTGTAGAGGCATGACCCCATTCGTCAAGGTAGTAGGAAGCACTTATAGTAGGTAATTATAGGCGTGTTTTTAAAAAGAACAGTTGAGTAAGTTAAAAATCTGGATTTTCAAGATTAAATTAACTTTTATATAAGACTGTTTTGTTTTTTTGCACATATATTCACAAGTCCCTGCCTCGTTGCATAAACAGGGTGGAAATTTTAACTTTCCATTCTGGAATATCTCTCTTGTCATGTCCACATTCCCAGTGGTAACTTTCGTTAGAAGTATTAGCATAGTTAATAACTGATTCTAAATTAATCCATTTGTCATAGAGTAAACGATTTGACTCATTGGAAACTGAATCATAGTATCGTTCTTTGTAATACACATACGGTGATATATAACATGACACTTCATAGGTGGTATTACCAGCTATCACTTTCATTTTAAATGGTGATTCATGAAGAAAGTCTGAGTTTCAGTAAAATCTACTAAAACGGTTTCTTTCTAAGTTTTTGTATTGCTTGGGATACATGTTCAGTATATACTTCGAATAACAAGTTTTAATGTTAGATATAATTTTTGATTCAGTTTGGTTTAAATACGAAGCGACAAAACAAATATATAATACTTGATATATTTTGATAATGCTATCATGTTTAGTAAATCCAATAGTTACATTTCTTAACTTGTCACATACAACACTAATAATACATTTCAAATGATTCAGACTAAAATCCTCAGAGGATTTCAGTTGTATAGCACTAGTCACTGATGGTATCAGTCCTTTAAATTCCTGCCATTCAACATGAGCAAATATTACATCTTTTTGGTAGGGTATAATGTGCCATTTCCGTAGTCTTTATACTGACGAATGAGCATCTTCAAATCATCATTAAATGGAACAATTACAATATACCTGTCATTTCCCAGTAGATAGGGAAGAGAATATTCTGATGATTTGTCTCGCTGGAAAAGACAAGATGAACCACGTTGCTGCATTTAGAAACAATTCGTATTAGTCACAATTATTAACAATAAGAATGTAATATGTATAAAACAGTAATATTTCAATGAAGATTAAACTTACCTTTTTGTTTTCCATAATGTAGAAGATAACTTTTTTTAATGTTGTTGTAGAAAGAATGAATGTATCTCCTAAACAACTCTTTTTA